GAGGAGGAGCGACGTTTGGCGGAGGAGGAGCGATGGCGGGCGGCGGAGGAGCGACAGCGGGCGGCAGAGGAGGAGCGACGTTTGACGGAGGAGGAGCGATGGCAGGCGGCGGAGGAGCGACGACGACAGAGGGAGGAGGAACAGGATAGACGACTTCAAGATATGGCTGTTTTGTTTACACAGCTCAGTCAATCTCAACATTTCCCCCCGCCACCATAATGAATATTGTCTTTTGCCTTTAAACAATTTAGTTTTTRTTTGGTTGGAATAATTGTAGTTTCACTTTAATGGATGATATTAAGTTCGATTTCACCTTTTTATTTTCACTTTAATATGATCATGTGGAACCATGTATTGCATGTCTTCTTCCTCATTGTTCTGGAGTTGCAAAAAGGTGTATCCATTGATGGAAAGAATTTAGGTGGAACCATTTTCTCTAAACAAATAAAGCATTTAGGTGTCAACAGGTGATTTATGCATCTCTTGGTGCTGGCCTTTTCATTTTGCCTATTGTTTCTATGAAAACCAACTAGAACCTTGTAATTTAAACACCCTTGATACAGGGGAATGCATGCAATGCCATAAATTGGCTTTCTTTCACATTCCTGCATTCAATTTTCATTTTGAATTTTAGTGCATGGTTAGAAATCTAAAAAACATGTAGGGTAAATACCATATAATAATTGTGGCTTGTAAGTTGCAACTCAAGTGTGATATGTAGTTATGTACTTGAAATGTTGATATGATCCATTCTACTTGAAGCACATTGATGTTACATGTAGATAATTGCTTCCATTTGATTTTGTTTTTTTTTTTCTTTTTCTGTAGAATGGATCAGAACAATCTAATTATAGTTGTTACAGTCTTGAAAGCTTACATCGACTTGCTCATATTTTTGGCCAATTTTACGAATTGGTTAATTGAATATGAACAAAGACATGATCGAATGAGAACTTTAAGACAAAGAACATTCAGTAGATTTCAAATTAGATCGATAGAAATCCAACGCATAACACGTGAAAGTGATATTATTTGTGTAAATGAGTTGCGAATGGATAGGAATGCATTTGCTATTTTGTGTGAGTTGCTAAAAACACGTGGTGGACTATTAGATGATGATAATGTGACAATTGAAGAACAAGTTGCTACGTTTGTAAACATTTTAGCACATCACACCAAAAATATATGTCTTCAAGTTAGATTTTATAGGTCGGGGGAAACAATTAGTAGGTATGTTCATCGAGTTTTAAGTGCTTTGCTGCGATTGCAAGACATTTTGTTTAGCAAACCAACTCTGGTAGAGGATGATTGTACCGCAGAAGATGGAAATGATTTAAAGTAATCCTTGTGAGTTTCTCTCATTATTTGTAATATAAAACATTTACCATTTAGCTAAAACCAAGTTATTTTGTTTATAGGATTGTTTAGGAGCAATAGATGGAACATACATTGAAGTGACTGTACTTGAGTCCGATAAACCAAGATACCGAACAAGAAAGGGTCATATTGCGATTAATGTATTAGGTGCATGCACTCAGGACATGAAATTTATCTATGTTTTATCCGGTTGGGAAGGTTCAGCTCCAATTCTAGGGTACTACGAGATGTGGTTACAAGGAATAATGGTTTAAAATTCCCAATGGATAATTACTATTTGGCTGATGCAGGATATGTCAATGGTAACGGATTCTTGGCACCATATAGAGGCACTAGGTATCATTTACGAGAATGAGAACACATTGGTCATACACCTACAAACAAGGAAGAATATTTTAACATGAAACACTCACAAGTTAGGAATATCATAGAAAGGTGTTTTGGTATTTTGAAGAAACGTTGGGCCATATTATGAAGTCTTTCTTTCTATCCAATAAAACTTCAAGGAAGAATGGTCATAGCATGTGCTTTTCTACATAATTTTATTAGGATGTACATGGTTCTTGATCCGGAAGAAAACACGACACTCACACTAGAAGATATGCCTATAGGGGAAGAGCAAGTTGAATCCAATGATGATGTTGGATCTATTGATGTTGTTGAATCAAGTAATAAGTAGACTCAAGGGAGAGATGACATAGCCCAAGAGATTCAGTTGTGGATGTCAAATAGATGAATGGACTCAATGTATTGTTTTATTACTATTTTTGAATTTTAAAATGTTATTGTAATGTATTATTTTGTTATTAATGTTGAATTTTAAAATGTTATCGTAATGTATTATTTTGTTGCTAATGTTGAATTTTAAAATGCTATCGTAATATGTTGTTTTATTACTATTGTTGAGTTTTTAAAATGCTTATCGTAACGTATTGTTTTATTACTATTGTCACGATGTTAATTTTTGGAATTTAAAAGATGGCGAATAGACGTAATTGGAGCATCCAAGAAGAGGATATACAGATTAACATTCTACAAGAGATTGTAGCCACCGGTGGTAAGAGTGATAATGGGTGTTTTCGGATCGACACATATGAGCAAATCGTTTTAAAGATGCATGAAAAGATCATGTGCCTCAATATAGCATCAAAACATATACAAAACAAAATGAAGCGACTCAAAGATAAATATTCAACAGCTTATGATATGTTGAATACAAGTGTTTTCGGTTGGAATGATGCGCATCAATGTGTAACGGTGGATGCTCAAGTTTTAGAGGAATACTTAAAGGTAACACTTATATTTTTTATGTGATTATTTAATATTTAATTTTATATGGATAATGATTAACATTATATATATGTATGCATTTTTTTATAGAAACGTCCAAGCAAAAATTATATTGCCAACAAACCGTTTCCCCAATATGAGCGACTGAAGACGATATTTGGAAAAGATCGAGCTACAGGATCGATGGAGAAATCTGCCGCCGATGCATTGGAGCACATCAATTTGGAAAGTGAAGTCGATACTGATACCGAAGAATTGAACGTGCCTTTGACTACTCTTTCTAAAGGCGCTTCTGCATCCTCTATTCCTACAGACGTAGAAGCATCATCTAAAAAGAGAAAGAGAAAAGTTGGTGTTTCTAAAGATGCAATGAAGATGATTGAAAAGGGGTTGAATTCGTTATCCGAGGAAATGGGCAAGTTGGTATCAGTTTTTGGTACTCTGGGTTTACAAACTATGCCCGATGAGTTAAGCAACATGAGTTTTGATGATGATTAGGTTATTGCTATTAGCATGTATTTTGCCGATAACCCGATTCAACTACGCCTATGGAATAACATTAATGCTACTTTGAAGCCAAAATTTGTGAGGACCATCTTAAAGAAGTTAGATATGTGATGTTAGATGGTAAACAATTGATCATTTGTGTTTAAGTCTTTTGGTACACAATTGTAAACATTTGATCTTTTGTGTTTAGGTTTTTTGGTACATAAAAGAAACATTTGAATGTTGGTAAACATTTTAACTTTTGTGTTGGTGAATATGATGTTTAAATCTTTTGATTTATGAATATGAGTTGTTAATTAACATTGATTTTATAATTTTTTTTTGTATTTTTAAATAGTATTTGTTAACATTTATATTGATTATTTAGTGAAAAAATACTAAACAACTCACTGGGTAAATTGATCAATTTAACCAGTTCTGTCATGTCCTGTCATGTCTTACCAAACGCAGAACACTTGTCATGTCCTGTCCTGTCTACGTACCAAACGCACCCTAAATAACCTATTTTCGTAGACAATTGCATTTGACCATTTACACAAATAGGTGAAATATGGATCTTGTTAGCCCAGATTCAAGTCATAAATATACAGTTAATCAAGACCAAGAACACAAAGATTGATTCAAGTATGTCGACATGTCATTGATGTATATTTGAAGTACATAATGTTCTTGATGATGAATACAGAATGATGTCTTCTCTCAACATATTTTCTCTCTCAAAGATCTCACGAATGAAATGATAGAAGGTTACCTAACAAAGCTAACTATACGGCCTATTTATATTACAAGATTACAAGGGAAGAAAACTAACATAGCAGATCAAATAAGTTGTGAGTCTTATTAATTTGTTAACAAACAGACTCTTACTTTCTCTAGGTCTCTTGCGCCATTTTTAAATTCCTAAAACTTAACTGTAGTTGGGACAAAGATTTCATAGCTTAAAGAACTTGTAGCATAGATGGAAATTGGAATTAGAAGAACTCAAACCCTAAATTCTGAATGAAGATGGAAGTCCTAGCCATTAAGTTTCTAGGAAAATCAGGAAAAACATATTATAAAAATAAAAAATCAAGAGTTTTTAATTAACAAAAATAAAAACTATAATTTAACTTTGTAATCTATGTATTTAGTTTTACAATTTAATTGACCACTTGACATCTATACATACAATGTTATCAAGTCAGTAGATTATAAGTCAAAATAGATACAAAATAGAAAAAAAAATTGTTTGTTACACTAAATAAAACTAAAACCAAGCTTTGATATATTTTGCTCCTCACATTGAAATGAAAATATGCTAAGGTATTCTTGTTTATGTATGCCACCTTTGTGATTGTGATTGTTTCTAATACTATACTTATGAAAAATCTTTGTTTTACTATATTATAAATATTCAAAATAACTGTTCACCTAACAAACATTAATATATAAGGAAATATATTTTTCACAGCCATAAGGTTATTAGAATTAACCCTTTGTCATATTTATATAAGTTAGATATAACTATATATTTTTTATTTGGTAAAAACGTATTTATCTTGAATATTTATGCTTCTTTTTTGTACAAATTTTACATCTCATTGCAATGCACGGGTGCACAACTAGTACGTTCTGAAACAACCGGGGTTTTTATAAAACAACTTTTCTACCATTCAGATATAATAAATACTCTCTTCACTCTAAAATAAATGTTCACAACAAAATCCTTAAGGTACAAACCACTTAAACCATACCACAACATACTGCATTAGAGGGCGTAACATAATTCTTCATCTCATGATTAATGGTGGAACTGGAAACCAAACACCTGTTCTTGAAAATAAATATCTATTTTGGTACAAATTAAAATAGAAATATGATAATTTATTTTAAAAGAGTGAAAGTTTTTGGGTGATAATCATTTACAAGTTAACATGAGCTAAAAGGCGAAGCTCATTTCTCTTGTGCATGGTTAATCCAGGCAAAACCTCAAAGTCTACATCTTCTTTCCTCATGCCATCAGGCAAATTCCAATCGAACAAGTAAATAAGATTAGCAAGTAAAAGATCCACCATAACATCTCCCATCGAGATTCCTGGACAGATTCTTCGTCCGCCCCCAAACGGTATGAACTCAAAATCATTCCCTCTAAAGTCAATATTGCTACCCATAAATCTCTCAGGCAAGAACAACTCAGGGCTCTCCCAACATTCAGGGTCCCTTCCGATAGCCAATGCATTCACGAAAACCAGGGTTTTTTGCTTGATCTTGTAGCCATGTAAAATGGCATCTTTTGTTGTTTCTCGTGGTATTAGAAGAGGAGCCGGAGGGTATAATCTTAAGGTCTCTTTTACCACTGCCTTTAGATAGGTAAGTTTTGGAAGATCATCCTCATCTACTTTACCCTTCTTTCCAACCACATTTCTTACTTCTTCTTGTGCTTTCTTCATGACTTTAGGGTTCTTTATTAGTGCTGTCATCGCCCAAACCACGGTAACAGCAATAGTATCCGTTCCCGCTACCAATACATTCTAAAACATGAAGAATGGAAACATATAGATATTGGAACCAAGAAAGCAAAGAAAGCAAAGAAAGAAAGAATGATCGTAAGATCCTAATTAATTCCCAAAATAATAGCTAGGTGATGCCACCAATAAACAAACGACATATGTTTATAAGTTCCAGATTGTGAAACCAATACATGTGAAACCATATCATAAATCATAAACTAGAACAAAAAAAATTCATGTTAAACAATATCGTGTTGAGATTGGCTCGTGTTTCTAACTTTTGAGTGGTTCTGAGAAAACCAAAAAATGTTGAATACCATGTGAGCCAATCTCAATTGTATTATTTCACATGTAGATATAATATATATATATATATATATATTTTTTTTTTTTTGCTTTATCTAAGATTTAAATTATTAATTAATATGTATTTGTTTCACAATATAAAACTATTTGATATGTTTATTTTAGGGTTAAATGCATGAAATAACAACTTACTTTCATAAATTTTCTTATTATAGCCTTCTACTTTTTTTTTTTATTACAACAATATACTTTTAAATTATTTTTTATTAAGACATTGTATTTTAAAAAATCTACCCATAATAGCAATGTTAATCTGTTACCTTTTAAATTGGTTAAACCCATTGACTTTTTTTTGCTTGTGTGGCTTTAATGATGTGATGTGGATGACACATTATTTTGATGACTTGACTAAAATAAAAATAAAAATCTATTTCAAATTATTATTAGTGATTTTCATTTTTCATTACTATGATCTATGAAAACATTTTTTTTGACTTTTCCTTATTAAGTTACATGCAAATTAAATATTCTAGAATAAATTTTTTCTTAAATAAATATGAAACATTATTTTCGAGATTCATTTTGTTTGTAAAAAAGATAACACTTCTTATTCTATGTTGTTTAGATAAATACATATCTTTTAAAGTTCTCTTCAAAATGTTAACAACATAAATTGTGATCTACAATTTTTTAATATTGTTATATTAATAAATAATTCATAAAATATAATTAATTTAATATTTTTATACTTCAAGTAAAACTTTTTGAACAATTATAATATATTTTTTAAAAGATAATATTTTTTTGGTAAGAAATGAACAATTCCTAATTTTTTTTTCAAAAAACACATATTGTTAAAAAAAATATCAGCGAGATAAGTTGTATTCTACTAGTTTTATTGATATTGATATATTAATGAATAATTTAGAATTTTTTTAATTCATTTAATATATTTATTAGATAACATGTAAAATATCTAAATACTAAAATTAAAAATACAGTGTTTAATAAGAACTAGTAGATGTTATAAAAAAATAATTTTAAAAGTACAACGATATAGTAAGAAAATCACATCACTATAATATATGTGGACAACCTACGTGGACAATGAGGTAGCCTAGAAGCCAGGTATAATAGGTAAATCTAAATCAAAAGGTTACCCAATGCTATAATAGGTAAATTTTTCAAAGTATACTGTTATAATAAAAAATAGTTTGAAAATACATTGCTGTAATAAGAAAAACTGGAAGTAGAATACTATAATAATAAAATTTATAAAAGTAGATTGCTATTTTATGCATTTTGCTCTTTATTTTATTTCATAATCTGAAAAAAGAGTACCATATGTTTCACATTCATGAATAATATACATGTATTGGCTATAAAATTAGTCTAACTACAAATGTTTTGAGGGAAAATGACCATGTATGCTAGTATACGTCCATATCTCTATCACTATAAATGCATTTGTGCATAGATATTAAAGTAAACGTTTGACTTCATAGATATATCATAAACTTTTATTGAGCCAATATAAAAAGAGCATATAGTGATTACCATGAGCATGGCTTTAATGTGATCGTAAGTGAGATTGAAGAGTTGATCTTTCTTGAGTCGTAGTAAAATGTCGATAAAGTCCTCTTCTTCCCGATCATGCGACTTATTAGGGTTTTGAAGGTTGAGGTGTTCATCAATGAGTTGTTGGTAAAATGAATCAAAATATTTGAAGCATTTCTCTACCTGATCCACCTTGCCCAATAACCTATCAACCAAACCCACAAAAGGCAGACCAGGCCAAAGATCTGAAAAAAAGAGCTTTGCCAGCACTGCCTGAAATTCAGTAAGTAATTGAAGAACCTCCTTTCTTTCATTTCCATCTTGGTACCTCATACCAAAACCTACTCTTAACATCATGTTACTGGTCATGCTCTTCATGATTTCACTCAAGTTTACATGCTTAAAGGAAAGAGCCAACTCATGTATATTCTTCATAGTAGTTGAGACATCATCTTCTCGGATATGTCTAAAAGATTGAATCCTTTTAGGGCCTAACAAATGAAGCATGAGAATCTTTCTCATCTCTCTCCAGTTCTTGTTGTAGGGTGAAAAAGCTACATCGAGGCCATCATAAGACACCTTTAATTGGCCACGTAATGGTGGCCTACTGCAGAAAATAATATCTTGGGTTTTCAAGACTTCTTTAGCTAGACGTGCTGAAGAAACAACGATGGCTGGGATGAAACCGAAGCGAAGAGATATGATCGGGCCGTAGGATTTGGAGATGTGCCATAGAGAAGTATGGAGGTTTGAGAGATCGATTTGGTGCAAGTTTCCAATAAAGGGAAGTCTTGGAGGGCCTGGTGGATTGAATCTTGATTTGCTTATGAACGTTCTGGAAAGAAGATAGAGGAGGGGAACAGAGAGAAAAAGGAAAAGAAAAAGTAGTGCCATTTGTTGGAATGTTATGATCCTCTGCCAGTAGTTTTTTTTTTTTGGTTATGTAGACAATGATAATGTAATTAACGAAGTCATGATGATAGCCATACGATTATGTCAACTATATGTTTTTGTTTCCTTTTTCGTTTAGAGTGGTATATGGTAACAGAGTGTTGGTCCCCTCCTTATAATTTGGTACCACTTGAAACGTTGTTCATAAATTTGTTAAAACGAATAAACAAAAGTTTAAATCTACAAAAATACTACATTCGTCTCTATTTTTTTATTCTTTTTTTTATCATAAATTATTAAAACATTTAATATATCTAATCCCTAGACACATTCAAATAAACGTTTGTGCAATTTAATGGATTCGGTCCTTGTGCTTTATACTTTTTAATTTAAGTAATGTATGTACATTTGTTCTATATGGTTGTAACTTTTTATCATATATCATGTCTATATTGAAATATTTATTATACTTTTGAAAGTTGTGGTTGCTGTTGTGTTAAAAGATTTGGTCCATTCAACAAACTCCTATCAATTCATGGATATAAATTTCATCCAAGGTCGAGATTCAAACTGATATTCACCAAGAGTTATTAAAAGTTCTTTAATTCATCTCTCATTCAATTGCTCTATAACTTTTGGTCTCGCTTTCGATCTCTAGATTCTTTGGTCTTGGTATAAATCGAACACATTTGTGGAGTCGATTAAGCATGTTGGATTTTAAATATATTGGATTTTAAACAGTTATACAATTTTTTCATTGATAGACTGTAATTGGAACCATAATTCTTATTTATTCAAATTGTATTAATATGTAAAGACCAATTATAACTTATATCATCGCAAAATCTTGTCTAATAGAACCAGTGAAACTTCAAAATCGTTAAAATTCAAGCTCCCACCGCATTGCACGAATACACAACTATTACTTTTAAAAGTTGTGATTGCCATTATGTTAAAAGATTTTTCCTATTAATTCATGGATATATATATATATATTTTAGTCTTTTTCTAATCTATTACAAAGATTTTTACCCTTTCTTTCCTCACCTCTCTTTCCTCCTTTCGCATTATCAGCCACACACCCCACCCCTTGGTGATAAAACCCAACGATGAAGGGTTTTGTTTAAACTTGTCTTTATGTTGCTATGTCCTTCATCTTCATAGACAAAACCACCAAATGAGAACCTTCACCAATTTTCGTCAAAGTGGCTATTTTTAATTAATTTCCCTGTTTATGATCCCTTATTATTATTATTATTATTATTATTATTATTATTATTATTATTATTATTATTATTATTATTATTATTATTAGTTATTATTATTAATATTGAATACATATATCCTATATATATTACAATTTCTGTAAAAATGTTATTATTATCTATATTATATTATATAGGAGGAGGTTTAGGGAAAAATATCAAAAAAATGAAAAACTGAAGAACATCCTGGTGAACGTTCATCTGAATCGTATGCACATGTATATATAAGTAATATATTGAAGCTGTTTTTTGATTTTATGCACGTGTGCATATTATGCATACCGGACAAATTGCTTACAAATTACATGTACGGTCTAAATGAACGGTTATCAGAGTGTTCCCCAATTTTTCATTTTTTAAAGTTTTCTCTTGAACCTGACTCTCTCTCTCTCTCTCTCTCTATATATATATATATATTATGCACACACATACACACACACACATATATATATATATATATATATATATATATATTAGTATTAAGTTTTTATTGTAGTTACTTTAATACATACAACTTTTACGTG